TGATAACACCTAGAATCATATGATAACCCATCAAATTTAACATTAAAATATTTAGGAGGTTTTAATGTGTCGATTCATATATAATTCGATGAGCTTAACACCCAAAAATCAAAAAGGGCCAAAATGTGCTCTTATACGCCCCCGTCCTTTAAAGAGATGGCAATTTTTTTCAATTACAAAATAAATTTCCCGTCTAAGAAAACTTATTCTTTAATTTAGATATCAATTACACTTATAAGTAAAATTGTTTTAAATGCAAATATAAATACAACTTATGAATGGTCAAAATTTATTGTAAGTTAAAACTACCAATAATTTAAATGAACTTCCACTTTAGGAAGAACAATATACGTGTCACTCATTATTCATATCGTTAGGAATTTAAATAAATGAATGTTTATTTGCTAAAAGAAAAGAAAATATTTATCAATAAATTTGATCCGTTACAAGGAAAATTAACTTTCTAATGAGTAAATAAATGTTTGACTCTTTTTTTAAACTTAAATCTCTTTTAGTTATTTCTACTGTACTCATCATACTCTTTTATTTCACTACAACGATCTCAAAATGCAATCAATAGATACAATTAATATATGATTGCTTCTGGTATGTTTAAAAAATTTCTAAGATTGAACAAAAGCTATACATTTTCTATTTCTTAGACAAATCAATATATGATTTTATACATAGATGTCCATATTCATTGTTATCAAGAATAATTATAAAATTATATGTTTCTCCTCTGAACATAAACATTCTTGTCATATTTCTCTTAAATATTTGTTTTTGTATGTTGTACAAATTATTGGATTAAAATACAAAATAAACTGAGATAATTAATAGACGTGGATAAAAATTAAGAAATCTAAATTTAATAAGAGCTGAATATTTCGAAATTCAGATGAAAATATTTATAATTATGAAAAAAACTTTCTAAACAAAAAGAACTTAATCTATTTGATAAAATACTTCACTACTTAATGCTCAGCAATGTATGTAAGAAGATTTAGTACAAATCATTTATAGAAAAAAAGACATTCAGACATGTGCGAGATTATTAGTATCTTAATGGAACATATATATCTTTTTGGTATAAATGAAAACGTCTCTTATTATATATTAGTTTATTTAATCAATAAATTTCAGTAATATCTTAAAAGTAAATGGATATGTACACTCATCAATGTAAATATTACTAGTTTCTATTAATTTTGAGAAAAACATATTACCGATAGTGATCAGTATGCATAAAAAAGAAAAAGATGAACATTTTTTTAATAAAGCAAGGAACAATTAAGAATATATTTGGACTGGTATCTATGAGAACAAGAGGGGACTAGTTTAGTTTGCTTTAGTTACTTAGTATGCTGTTTTAGGTATTTGAAATATTTTTTATTTCATTTAAAATTTTCAAACATTTATTCTAATTCTAGTTACTAATTTTGTTATACGGTAGTGTCCACTGATTCAAAAATTTTTCATTAAATAGTCTTTTTAAAATCAACTCATCGTCTCATCATGAATATGTTCGTGGTTCATTGATTTTTCGTTAATAGATTGAATGAATATAATTTGAGCCGCCTTATTTATGTATATATACACATGTACAATCCAAAGAACAAGAGCGAAAGAGAGAGAAAGGGTAAAAGAGAGGGAAAGGGTAAAACAGAGAGAAAGGGCAAAATAGAGAGAGAAATATGAAAAAAAGGAATAATTAGCTACCCCATAGAAGAAGAACGATAGTTTCATATGTATCTCTGCTATAAAATCTATTTAGAAAAAAATTGCTGGAGACTTGAGCACACCCCGACGAGAAAATGGCTGCCTTATACTCAGTTTTTTATGCTCTTTTTCAGGATGTAATCTTTATTATGTCCGCAAGAAAAAAAATATTTCAAAGGGGTTGATATAAATTAACAGAAAAATACCAACGCTAGCGTGATTCCGTGAGAATCGAACGTTTTAAGCAGCATTTAATGTGCTCAGCTAAGGAAGCTTGATTGCCTATTTTTTAAAAAGAACAGTTGTTACGCAAATATTAATGATTTATATAACTTTTGAAGACTATAAACAGTTTTTTTTCAAAGCTAAAAATCCGGAAAGGGGTGTAGGTGTGTGTGAGTGTGGGTGGGTGTGGGTGTGTCGGTGGGTGTGGGTGTGGGTGTGTCGGTGGGTGTGTGTTTGGGTATGGGTGTTAGTCTCTCTTCATCCACACCCACCCCCACCCCCACACCTACACCCACACCCACACCCACACCCACACCCACACCCACACCCACCGACATGCACACCCATACCCACACCCCACACCCACACCCACACCCAGGTCGTTATAACCTGTCGAAAAACGATGGTTCAATCGGTTTACGCATTTCTAATTGATTTTTCTATAAAACCAATATTTTCTGTACTGGAAACGTCGAATTCTATTTAAAAAAAGGGTTTCAAGACGTCACAACATTTTGTTTAAAATGCCCTTAAATTTTCTGTATCGGTTAAAAATCTTCTAACTAATGATTATTTTTCTAGTGTCATGCGGTAATTATTCACAGCCTAATCCTCAGAATCGAGAGTGCATCTGACAATTTGAAGTATATTTCGAAGTTGAGTTGGGTGTGGGTGTGGGTACCTGTGACTCTGAGTGTCGATGTGATTTTGTGAGTGTGGCTAAATGTAGCGAAGGACTCACACCCATTCGCACCTACTCCACACCCACACGCCACCCACACCCATACCCACACCCCACCCACACCCATACCCACACCCACACCCCACACCCAAACCCACACCCACACCCATACCCACACCCCCACCCCACCCCCACCCCCACCCCCCCCACCCCCACCACCTCCCCCACACCCACACCCACACCCACNNNTTCACATATAACAGAATATCATTCTAATCAAACACTTGATATGCTTGAAATGTTGATAAATAAAGAACATTGCGACAATGATGTTCATAGAAAAATACGTTTATTGCATGTATAGGCTACATTTGTTTAGAACAATAAAAATTTGTTGGTGCACTCATTCATTGAAAAGAAGCACTAGAAATAACATCCTATATGACTACTTCGCTTGTAATCATACTCAATGAAGCTATTTATGTACAAATAGCTGCAGCATATTATCGATTGAACAGCAAAATCAACGCTTTAAAATTCATGGAAAGAGCAAAACAATCTTTGGAATCTTATTATCTTTCTACACGTAGATTATTCACTAGTTTTGACTTTCTTTATGCCTTTTATTTGATGCAAAATAGTAAATCTTCTCAAGCTATTCCATACTTAGAAAAAGCACTGAAAAATCCATATTTTTCTAACGATGACAATTTTCTCGGTACTGTTTATACTCTATTTAGTAATAGGTTATAGTGATACTTTCAATTATTATTCCAAATTCTATTGCGTCTTCGAAATCTATTGATGAAAAAACTTGTACCACTGATGAATTGATTAGCTTCGCTGATCATTATCGTCATCAACAAGATTATTTACATGCAGAAGAATACTGTAAGAACGCTTTCGATAAAATGACAGAAATAGATTCGAAACATATATGGAATATCTATAGAAAAATGATAAGAATAAATAACAATGATCATTATCATGATTATTTTTCTACATTATATTCAAAATATGATGATAATAATCCAAAATATTTTCAAGTAATTTCTACAATACAAATAATCATGTACAAATTATTTTTATCATAAAATAAATTAAAATCTGCATTCAATTGTTTTATACATGGACTATTTATGAAAATTAAATTCATATATCATCAGACTAGTTTAATCGGTTCGAAATATCTGTGGGATTTTTTTTTCATTAATTCTGAAGAAAGTCGACAGTATTTTAAATGAAATTAAATCGAAAACGTTGTCTATATTTCTACTTACGTCATTACAACTTGTTCATCAAAATATGCTTCCACCGGAGAAATCAATACTCTCGCTCAAATACCAAGTTGAATGTGGCTGTGGATGTAAAGAAAATACACAAAGCGACCCACAGTCTCCGTTACGATTGCATTAATTTCAGTTGACTGTAAAAGCGCCTGCTAAAATAGCATAGAATCCCCAAATCTACGTTTATGTCTCGCTTTAGATTTAGTCACAATGATAAATCCAAGATGTGATGCTTAAATTATTAAAATATGTTCACTTGCTCTTTCCAGAAATATTTCTAACATATGATGTCTTTTTTTTGCAGATATACGATTGATTATGACAGAGAGCATTGTCATTCCATTGAATCGACTTATTGAATGTCATCTGCTAACTTCCTTGACAAACTCGACGGTAGCAATTTTATCAAAGCGGTAAACAATGATGAATAGTTTAGGTCCATTGCACAAACTTCGGATTACACCTTTTTTTCTGTGCTGAACATTCTTTGCTCGTTATCAAACTGATTGTGATGTTGATGAAAATGACTTTGTTTTGATCTCAAAGTGATGCATGTGATGTCTTTTATAGCTTACCTGGAAACTCGATTAAGTCCTTGGGGTAGGAGATATAGGAGACATACACTGAAAAAAAAGTGCCATATAGAACCAACGAGGGTTTTGATCTTACTATGAAATATAAAAATAGTTTCGTACATGGTAAAAAATCTACGGAACCTTTAAAAAAGTTTCCTAGACAGCTGGCAATCATTTTGAAAGTGTCTTAGATTTTCACGAAACCTTGTTTAAGGTTTAACTTTCTACCGACATGTTGAGGTATACTCTCTAAAGCATGAGATAAAACATACGTCATTAACTACGTCAGAAATTTTTTGACAGGAGCCGAAGACAAATAATCGATAAGCTTTTTTTCTCGTTCTTCTTACAACAACACTGTGGATTTTGTCATGTGCTAAACATTATTGCGTTGTGGCATTAAGTGATTCACATTGAAACTGGAGATATAAATACATATTTACCTAATTTTCTTTCTTCTACACTCTTGCTCTTTTACTTTATTAAGAAACATCATTTTTTTTAATCATGTTAGCAAAACTTATTTTATTCGCATCTATTTCATTGCATTATGGTTCTAATGGAAAAACTATAAGCTTTGGTGGCGCTCCAAATGTTACTCATCTCACACCAAATGTCTCCATGCCTAGAACAGCCTTCTTATATTCGACACAGGTTGATTTGTTTGTAAACGTTTATCATCGTCCAATCAATACCACACATAAAGAGACACTGAAGGTGTTCAGTGGCAATACAACTATAAACTCGACTGACCGTTGTATTGCCTTGGGTATATCTTTCGATCTCTGGGGTCAATTATCAATACAAAATCTTGAAGAAACTGGAAACAGTGGTTGTGATGCACTATGGGGAAAGGAATGTTCAAAAAATATTCTTGCTAAATTGATAAGTTCGTTTGGCAATATCGAAAATTCAAACTGTGGAGTTCCAATACCAGATATTCAATCCAAACCTCCTCCAGGTTGTCCAGTAAAGAATTCGTCTAGTAGTGGAATGGCTAGTACAGCGTTTCTTCGTAATGGTAGTTTTATGCTAGGTAATTCAAAACCAACAGATCCATCAAAAGCATGGGTATATTTTCAAAGTGATCCTTCAATCGATGGTGATTATAATGAACTTATGAAATATTTTGTCTTTACATATTTTGTTGGTCGTCCTTATTCATCAGACATGATCGACGCTACGATTTCTTGTATGTCTGTTTTTAATAAAACCATAGGACCAGATGGTGAAAACACAACGATACAGCCTAATAGAAATTCAACAGCACAATTGATCGTATCTGGAAACTTATTTATTTTTGTCTGTTTATTTGCTATTTTCTCAAATATCAATATTTAGTTTGCACTTTATTTTTCGATTTACAGTATTACAACTATAACTAACTGAATATTTATAATAAGAATAATTAAAAATGCTAAACTGACATTAGTGACTTCATGACAACTTGTTTTGTGATTTATTTATGAATAATAAAATAATATTATTTTTATCAGCTATTGATAATTGAATGATAGAATTTCAATAAATTTCCTTCAGGTTCTAGATACAAACTTGAATCTCACTTAGACTTCAGAGCTAAATACAAAATATTTGTATTTTTCTTAACTTTAATCATGAGCTAAAAATTCAATTAATTCTCTCTCATATTTGTTAAATTAAATTTAATATTTCACAGGTTAAATCTATAACAAGAGTTTTAATGATATTCAAAAAAAAAGATAGAATTAAAACCTCTGAATATTTTCTTATGATTTAAAAAATGTGCTATAACAGAAATGAAGTTTCTCTAGCTGACATCATTATTTCTTGTTCAGCAGAATTATTGAAATGAAGTTAATGATAACTGACATGATATCAATCATGTTTTATTATTCATTAAATGAGCATATATTGTTGTTCAAGAAAAATAAATAGATTCAATCGTTTGAAATCATGCCTTTTTAAAAAGAAATTAAAAAAAAGAGATGATAGATGAACAAATATTGTCTTTTTAATCAAATATTCATATCATCTAGAAGAAATAAGATTTTCAAAATTATTCGAAATCTAAAAATATTCTGCAATATGGTTCAAGGTTTATTGTGTTTTCTTTTAGATTAATAATTTAAACAGTATGATACCGAGTTCTTTTTTCATGTTAATGAAAAAACCAGCGAGTAATTGACTGAATGAGAAAAAAAATGATTTATACATTTGATTATATTACTTATGGTAGATTTGGTCGGTTTTTTGTAATTCTACAAAAACTGAAAGGTTTTCTTATTTTAATATGGATGGATAGAGCATTGATTTGGAGTCTTTTCATGGTTATATTTCACTAGAAAAACCGGAATTTCGACGATGAAAAGAATTTGTCTGTAAAATTTGCCGTAAATCCAATTAAGATTATATGAATCAAGAGAGAAATTAACACTCTATCCAACCATATATTAATAAGAACAAACTTTAATACTGAGACAGTTAAAATTCCTTCGAGAAAAAACTATGAAAGTTCTTAGAAAAAAGTTCACATAAAAATTTTTCAAAAAATCACCAGATTAATAGTGCAAATAAGTAACGAGTCCAATGAAAAATATATAGTTCAATAAAGAAACAAATATTCTGTTTCTCTCAATAAAAACAAGAAAGTTCCACTGCACGATAAGGTAATACTTACCGAAGGGATTAAGTGAGAAATGATTTCAAAACTGCTGAAAACGAAAAATCATGTTTGTAGAAAATTTTTGCATGAGATGCAAGATCAATGAAATGAAAAGTAATTATATGACTCGAGAGAATAACTGACGTTCTGTTCAATTATAGCAAAATAATAAACTCTCGAGATTTGGTAGAATTACAAAAAAATCGAACAACAATGTAATTAACTTGCAATCAGAGAAACATTTAAGAATCAATTAGAGCAAATAATGTAATATAAGGTCCATCATTTGAGGTTTCATCGATTTATTGGTGAATAAATCTGTAGAACATATAAAAATGAGGAACAAGAAAAGGGAAATTTCTTGAAATTGCTTGTCTAAGTAGAATTGTGACATATATTTTTATTTTGAGAATGTTGCTAAGTTGAAGACTGTAGTCCTCTGATGTATAGAAAGGTACTCTGAGTGCTGCCCGTACCTGTTCAAAGGATATGTGGCCCATATGTGATGTTTTTTGTAATAAAAGAGTTGAATAAATTTATCGCTATTTTTATGTTTGGTTCTGAAAAACGCAGCTGGCTTGTTCGAAATGCCTCTAGCAAAAATCTTTAACGTTTGCGTTCTAGATCCTTGACAGATCCGACAATGAATCTGCAAAGATTCGCCGTTTTTTCCTGAAGAAACTTGTAGCCATGAAATTTCAAAGACTTTTACAAGATTAAACAAGATCTAAAAAGGATTCTCCTCAACAGTTTTTCATTGTTTTTCGATCAGGATCCTGCCAGGATTTTAACTCATTGGCGGTGGGTGTCTCATTAGATGGAATGACAAGATTTTTCATTATATACCGATATCAAATTGGATTCAAAGTATAATTTAATGCGAGTATGTAAAGAGCTCAGTCTATTATAAGGACAGAGAGCCTGAAGTTGTTTGAAGTTTTATAGCAAAAATGCATTTTTAATATAAGACGTTGAACGTCCAGTTCCCGTTTGTCGAAAAAATCTTGAAAGAAGTAACTTGCTAGTCTCGAAGGGCTTGTACTTGTCCATTATATCACCTTTGTCACCATCTAGCACTGTAATAGTATGGCACTATCATACATGTATATTCTATCTATATTTTCTTTCGTTCGGCTGGCACGTAGGACATTGAAACACTTCTAATAAAAATTACATTATAAGGAGCAGAAATCATTGGTTCCTAGGATTTTCAACGATGGACAAGACTGTTTTTAGTTCTGGACGCGCAAGCTTTTGACAGACTGCAATAAAAACGATTTTTCCATTTACCTCATCGAATGTTTTTCTCATTGATCTTACGTTTTCAGAAGAAACCTTATATACTTCCAATGACTTAATATATTTATAGCTCTATGAGAAATTGTTATTATATTATAATCTTTATAAGATCAGAATCATTATTTAAATATTTAACATTCTTTGATCAATAATCAATAGATTTATTTTTTGAAAATACAANAAATACGAGTTGATTTTGAAGCATTTTGAAGTAATATTAAAAATGGTGTTTTTTTTTAAACAATTGTTTTCGAAAATTAAAATTCTGTTCCGCTTAGTATACTCAGAATTTGATGGTGCATCTTTTGATTAGAACAGATTTTTATTCTAATGCACTATAGTTCTTACAAACCTGGCAAGATCTTTGAAAAATACTAGCGGACACGTAAAAATGTGCCTTTTAGGAAAAGCATTGTTTCTCCAAGAATACTCTTTTTATAATAGCGAAAATTTCAGGATATATACAACTTTTGTTGCTCTATCAAGATACATAAGAATTGGATCAAAATATTGTATTTGAAAAAGTTTCAAATTTCATATATTGGTAAAGGGCGCTAAAAGGATTAGAACTTGTGTAAACTATAACTCGGTCAAAACGAGTGAGGGCCTCATAAAAATTTCAGGGTATATGCGACTTTACAGCCTCTACAAAATGGCGGAAAAAAATAAGAATCGAGGAGGGGTAAGTCTCCCCTTAAGTGATTAGCCTGATTAATAGTGACCAGATGATCACACAACATCTAACCGTCTTTATAGAACAATTTTCACTGATCGATTGAAAGGTCGCATAATAAATTTATGGCCATTTAAGTTTTATCGACTCTGACAATCACAATCATTTCACCTAACGACTCCACAAGATAAAAGTTGACTGGATGAGATCAAAAAATTAAAAAAATTGCTACGATTCAATTCTATGATATTTTCAAATTATCTCTTTCGAAGTGCTTTTTCTATGTAGTCAATAATGCAGAAAGTCCCTAGTGATTGGGTGATAATTCCAACTACTGTTCCAATGTTCGCTATCACAAAACTTTTTCATACGAACTGAGAGCTTCATCTTATGTGTCAAGCTTTGTCAGCGTCATATTTCTTTAAAATGAAATGTTTGGTAGTGTGATCACCTCAAAAATCAAAAGGTAGAAGAACCGAGCAATGGGTTGGCGTGGGTGTGTAGATGTGAAGATGAGAGCTACATCCACACCATCACCGCACCCGCACCCACACCTAATGAAAAGAAATATCAGATGCCTGCTTATAACCCATATACGAGTTTCTTCACTGATTTATAGTTTACTATTTGAAAGTTAAGGTTGAAGTGTCTATAAAAATGTATGCTTGTGGATATTTGTCTAGTGGCGCATGGTAGACTGGTAAAAAGAGTGAAGTTGATGAATAAAACCCTTATCAGAAGGAGGTTCAGAATACAGACACAGAATGTAAAAGGGCTAAGGATCGCTAAAACACTGATATTCGAAATCAGCGCAGTGAACTGCATACAGTTATGTATGTTTCTACGAAAAAGCAATTGATCACTTAGGAAACTTTCATCATAAACCATTTAATATAAAAATCCTTTGATAAAAAAGTCAAACCTTATTTCGATGGGTCCACTCGGAACCACTCCGGGCAACTCACATCTATATCTCATCGGAAAACATAGTAGTCCACAATCATGGAGTGGGTGTGAGATGTACAAGGTGTGGAGTGTAGGATTGGGATGTGTGGGCTATGTGAAATGTGGACAGTGGTGATGTGAAGTGTCAATTTTGCTTTCGATTCACCAGTATCTGCATCTACAGCCTATTTTTGTATGCTATTTTTCTCGTTGAGATATGGGTGAGAGTTGGCTCGGAGATGTTCTGAATGGCTTTGAATGACGCGTAGGGTTCGGAGTGATTTTGAGTGGCTCGAAATGAGCCCATCGAAATAATGCGTTATTCTTTCATGAAAGATTTATTAAAGGAAATGACTTGGCGTGGGATTTCATAAACGGAGAATTCTGAAGTTTATTGATTGATAACATATTCGAAATAAACGGCAGTTGGAGTTCACTAGAGCTTATTTTGCTAATAGCAGATACTTTAGATTTGCTTTTAAAATCGACATATGTTGCTCCGGATCATCAAAAAGATCATAGATAGATTCGATTCCTTGCTGAATAGACATTAGTGGCAAAGCCTGACGTCAACTATGAGTGTTTTATACTCTTCGCTGTTTGAAGACTGATTCTGTTTCTTATTTTTTTTTATTGAAGAGAAACGTTAGAGAGGCAAGAAAACTTCACGACATTACATAAGGAAAACATTTCTCAGCAGTGTGCGCTCCGATTGGATTAGCGTTGTAAGCTTCTTAAATGATCACCTCAATGTGTGTACTTTGATCTTTCTATTCTTCA